GAAAATATCCCATATTTCTTAAAGTGTGTGCCCAGGCATAATTGCCCAAAGATAACTCCAAGCCTTGCTTCCCCTCTAGATCTTGCCCCCACAAAATTATTATTTTTTGTTCCTGTAGTTAGAAAGCTTTAATAATTCCCTGTGATATGATCGCCAGGCTTGAAAAATTGCAAGGGCAATTCCTGTTGATGCAGACCTACTCTTCTCTGGAGTCAAAGTAGCAGCATTGTTTTGCTGGAAAAGAAATCAATGTATGCACATGGAAAGGGACAAGGAGGGGTGGAGAACATGCAAAGTTCTGTAGTCCAGCAGGCAGGGCTGGCAATGGTGGTTGAGACTTCAGTGCAGCAAAGGCACTGTGTTGTCAGCCCAGACTAGAAGTTATGAGCATGCTGGATTTCTGGCAGATCAAGTAGTATTTTTCACTCTTGAAGAAAAAAAAATTGAGAAATGTCCACGTATCACAGAGATTTAATTTTTTTGTTAATTTTTCACTGCCATACACTTTATTATGAAAAAAACAATGTCTGCTACCCAGTTCTACAGAATGCATAGCTAAATCATGGATAATAGTGCATAGAACTGACAGGGTGCCAGCAAAAATGCTGCAACAAATACAACTCATAGTAATTAGAAACTCAGGAAATGCCCCATAGAGGATACAGAAGCTAGCAGACAGGAAGATACTAAAGCTGACAAGTGTGGCTATGCCTTAGTACTTCAGCCAATAAATTAAATTTAGTGTACTGGTAATTCTTTAGGGATGTTTCTTCATCAAAGCTAACAGTGGAATAGTTTCTACAATTTATGTTTCCTCTGGGGGTTTGAGGTTAGGGCAGAGTGGATAAAAAATTAATGAGGCAGAATAACTTGTTATATGAGACATATTTTCTCACCGAATGCAATTTTGTTTTAAAGTCGCTTGGTCTACTTTGACCTTTCAATAGCAAATAAAAATGATATATTTTCTTTTTTTATTGAATAAAATACCCTAGGTAGGAAAAATATGTAGGCTGTTGTTTCTGATCCTCTGGACTTGAATTGGTATGGTTACTATGCGTGTTGGTATAATGAGGTTCAATAGCTTGATTTGGTGGATGTTGAATTTGAAGGCACATAGACTGTGAAGTTTTTGTAAATAGCAATGAAATTAAAAGGGAGGCTTGGCATTTAGAGTACAGAACAACTGATCCTTTGTTTGTATGTATGAGCGTCTCTTTGTTTACTACTCTAAAGCCTCATGCATGAGAATATTGGACGAATGATCATCTGTTTTTTTTTGCTTGCTAATCTCATATCAAAACGAATTCTCATAAAACAGAATACAACTCCCACGATGATGTAATGTATTGTACTGTATTGTAATGTGTTCTTTAATTTCTGAGCAAGCGCGGTATTGGTCACTCGATTTTTTTTATGGACGAATCCTGTACTGATTAAATGAAAGTCGTTCGTTTTGGTATCTTACGAGAAAAGTTTTCCTGCTTGTCTCTTTGGATTATTTTACATGTACTGTCATGATCAGCTCTCGAAAGCTGTGCACTAATGATCAAATTATTGTACAATCGCTCCGAAAGTGGTATTTTTCGTCCAATTTTCTAATTGTGTGTACTAGGCTTTAGACATACCCGTCTAAAAGGCTATTTATGATTATCTCTATGCCGAGTTACCTTTACTATGCTATATAATATGTACTATTCTTTTCTATTCTAAAAAATAAATTCATACAAATATCATTATTACTATCACTGAATTGCAGTGTACAACTGTACACTATTCATTAAAAAAATAGAACTAAAGGATACCTTTTTTTAAAGTAATATGTATAATTTGTTTCCTGTATGCTAGTGGCCTGGCTGGTTATGGCTTCAACATTTCCTGAATTTCCTACCCAGAAAAAGGAAGGCAGAATTATGTCAGAACTCTTGATCTGCAAATTTGTGGTAGGCATGTACTTAGAAAATGTTAATACACATCTAGCATTATGAGGGGAGGTCAGCAATATCAGACCCTATTTTCTGTCACTACATGTGTATATTAAAGTATACGTAAAGAAAAAACGTTTGTACTGGAGAAGGGTTGGACTCTTTTGTGAAGTACTGCACCAAATCCTACGCAGAGATTTTCCAGCTCATGGGACAACAATTCCAAATACCAGCAGAATGCGTACATCAGCAAAGTGAGTTAACTCTGCAGTTAAATATTTAACGCACACAAATGGTAGTCACCATGTTTTTAATGGTAACAAGCACTATTGGTAGCATGCAGTCTTCATAGCATCTGCTGTTGTAATTACATCTTTTGAGAAATGTCAATGACACTCCCTGCCACATCCAAACAGAAATGTAACAGCTTTAGAAATACAGTAGCCCTTACAGAGGCAAAGTTTTCAATATTTCTGATTAGAGCATTTAAAAACTCAGCTTAATAATTGTAAAATATTGTTTTAATGAAAAGAATTAAAGAAGATGCAAGAAATTATTTACAGAAGAGATTTTGCAAACAGACAATAAGCAACAGTAAAGTAAACAAGATTAAAAGTGAAAAGTGCTTAGCAAAGTTTCCCTGGTCTTTACTTCCGTGCAGAGGATAATTCATTTGCAAGTCCAATCTGTGGAATCTTACGAATGACACTTCTTTTTCCAATGGTAAGCAAAAGCTGCAGATGCCAATTGCATCCACCTTTTTTGGTCCCATGGGAGGGCCTTTACAGGCATAACAAAACCAATAAAAGGGTCAGAGAGGTTTTCTGAAGGGGTGTTGAAGTGTTTTATTATGTTCCAGCAGATGCTTCCTTAATGCCAATTACTTTAGCTACACCTCTATTTCCAACAGACCAGGTCTGCAATCTGACAACCTACACAATCAAATATGAGACCAAATGTGATATTAATCGGATGCATACTGTAATATTGCTTAGGAAATTTAATGTACTCTATAAGCCTTCTGAACCTGATAATAGAGGCATGTTTGGTTTCTAACTGATTGTTATTTTTCTATACATTATTGTAACCGCACTTTTTTATGAAGATATTTCTGTTACAGCAAAAGTTCTAAAAAATTAACCAGTTACCTTGAATACCTATCACAGACACAGGATTTAGATCTGACTGTTTCATAATCGGCCTGCAAATTATGGAGAAATTAGGGTGGCACCAGGTTCAGTACTATCCACACAGTTTAGGGCTGATTAGACCTCATTATTGTCACACCTTTGTCAAGAGCTTATTTCTATCTATGTCCACACTGGGGAGATTCATCCCTCTAACTGTCCCTTTGTCCACTGTGTCACCCAGAACTAGGAAGATTCCTAATTTTAGAACTGCCACCAATGCGAATAACTGTTTTGGTGACAGCCCTCCATACTCTATCCAAAATAAAAGAAAAAAATGGCTTTAAATGCAATCTATGTATATAGTATATTTCTCTCTGGTCTTCGTCCAAAGATCCAAATGTAATATGCAAGTTCAGCTACTCTGAGAACAGGTGGATATATTAAAAGTATCCCTGCTCTACTTCTGTTGTCCTCTGTTTTGTTCAACACTGGTGCTGGGAAAGGTGTCCATAATCCAAGATGCTGAGTACTGTATATACAGCATGAATGAACCCACACACAGTCCAAGGTTCCAAAAATTGTATGTATCCATATGAAGGCATACAACTAAAAAGCTTGCGTCCGCTAACATGTTTCAGTCCTAAAAAAGAGTCTTAATATTTAGCTTTACACTTAATGTATTTGGTATATTTCTCTTTGGCCTTCAGCCAAAGCTTCAAATGTAATGTGCCCATACAGCTACCTTAAGTAACAGCCAGCGAATCTAGACCCAATAATCCTGGAATAAAACATATCAAAATCAGGGTTCAATGTTATCAAACATCTGTTTAACCATTACTGTATGCTAAAATAACTAATATGAGATCCAGTAAGTTAATGACTTATTTTGAGTCCTGGCCCAAGTTCAGACAAAACTACTTTTTTTTTTTATTTAGTTTTTGATATAGTTGGAAAGGGATAGAAACTTGAGGTAGATTTCTCTCCACTTACTGCTCCAAAAAACAGTACCAGTTTTTCCTGCTTGAGGGCTTTATTGCTGTCCGAATTTAAGTAGAATTCCCCAGTCCCCCCTAGCTAAGCTATTTTACCTGCTGGGAAAACAGTCAGGATTTAAACCTCTAGGCAGACTATACTGCAATCAAGCAACAACATACTGCATAATTAAGCAGCAGCAGAACATCCATAAAGTTAGTGGTTTGCTTTCTTTACCACTAAGTAAGTTTACGGGGTTAAACAGACAGCACTGTGCAAAAAATAGATCGCTAATTGGCTCAGAGACCTAGAACTGTCTTTTCAAGCTTGAGGGCCACTGTTGAAGAAATTAAAGGAGTTTAGTAAAGTACTTATTATTAGTAAATAAATAAAGTGATTGTAAAGGCTCAAGGTTTTTTACCTTCATGCATTCTATGCATGCATGTAACAAAACCTTGTGTGTGCAGCAGCGCTCCCCCAGCCCCCTCAATACTTACCTGAGCCTCATCAAGATCCAGCGGTGCAAACGACAGCCTCGGCTATCTGCCTCCTTATTGTCTGAGACAGCAAGCGGGAGCCATTGGCTCCCGCTGCTGTCAATCACAGCCAGTCAGCCAATGAGGAGAGAGTGGGGGTGGGGCCAAGACAAAGCTCTGTGTTTGAATGGACACATGGAGCAGCTGGTGCCCGTATAGCAAGGTGCTTGCTGTGGGGGCACCCGACATGAGGGAGGGGCCAGGAGAGACCCTAAATCAGGAGGATCTGGGCTGCTATGTGCAAATATATATATATATATTAGTTTTGAGAAGTTCTAAATATTAAAGTGTTACTACACCCAGGGCCAGCTTACAGGAGGAGTTTTCATTTTGCTATAGGAGCATGCAGAGCCTCTGACCTCTGTCTGGACAGTGCTGATTGGCCCTGTGCTGATCACATGCACTCTACCAAGAAAAAAAAACCTCTAGCAATACACACCAAACTGAGCATGTGCAGAGTGTCTCCACACTTTATGACTTATCAGGAGATAAGAGGGGGACACTGGAAGAAGGGGAGAATCAGAGAAGTCAGGATCAAACAGTGTTTTTACACAATATAGAAGATCAACCCCTTAGGTTCCACAGTGAGTATAACAAGCATGCTTTACTGCATATACAGACTGATTTTACTGTTGTGGGTTTAGTAACACTTTAAATTGAGATGCAAACTTTAACTTTAAATTTAGCCTGTTTATTCAGAATTAAAACTTGCAAAGTTAACTCTTTCACAGTGTCCTCTCATTTCATTGGACTGCAAACACTGCTTGAAAGGTTTTTTTACAATGTCACCCAATAAATCATAAGTGCTTTGAAAACAGCCTGTGGAATCTAATCATTCAAATCCAAAATCAAAGAGTGCAGAAAACCTCTTAGAATGTCGCTAAGTATTTCAGCAATAATTTTGCAGTGCAAGTAAGAATTTAAAAGCTCAATAAAAAGTGACAGATGAAAGCAATGGTAGTGCAGAAGCTGGAATCCTGTTTTAGGAATATGCTGGTCCTTACAGACATCTATGATTGATCTTTAAGCACACAAAATGCCCTGTGTGAAATTATACTTTAGTTTATAGTAACTAGCAAAGCACTTGCTTTGAATATTTTCTTAGCACGCTAATAGAGCTTAGAAGAAAATTATTTCTGTTTAAAATGAATGAGCAGATGGGACTATCTTAATACCAATTTTCAGTCTATAGAAAAGAACTTTGGAATATATTCTTGGGTGTCATGGCAAAAATCAAGTCCTATTCAAATTATAAAGAACTTTATATTTAAACAATGAAAATATAGACAACTGACTAAACTCTAAGACACAGAAGAGCATTTGAAGTTTATACCCTTCAACTGTATAACGAGTAGGGTGGTGGATTGTCAGGAAGATAAGCTTTCTGCAGAAGAAAAACCTTGTTACACATTGTCAGAACATGCACACTTAAGGAGACAAACTCATTGGCTATTAAAGTTGTAATTTGTCCAAACCATGTAAACTGACACAAAAATGTGAAATTATTCACATAGACATACAATTGTGTTCAAAATAATAGCAGTCCAACATCACTAACCAGATCAGTCACTGTTTTTGGTATAAATTCTATTTCTATATGGCAAATAATTTACTAGCAGGTGTAGTATAGTAATAGAAAACCAACAGACCCAACAGTCATGACATGCATGCTGCTGATTCTGTGTAATTGAATCACTAATTGAAAGGGGCATGTTCAAAATAATAGCAGTGTGGAGTTCTATTAGTGAGGTCATTCAGTCTGTGAAAGACAGGTGGCCTTTATTTAAGGACGTAGGCAGCAAATGTTGTACATGCTGGGTATACAGTGCATTTCTCTCTGAGTAAAATGGGTCATTTCAGACATTGTTCAGAAGAACAGCATACTCTGATTAAAAAGTTGATTGGAGAGGGGAAAACATATAAAGACATGCAGAAACTGATAGGCTGCTCAGCTAAAATGATCTCAAATGCTTTAAAATGACAACCAAAACCAGAAAGACGTGGAAGAAAAACAGAAAACTACCATTCGAATGGATCAAAGAATAGCCAAAATGGCAAAGACTCAGCCAATGATCAGATCTAGGGTGACCAAAGAAGGTCTAAAGTTACCTGTGAGTACTGTAACAATTAGAAGACGCCTATGTGAAGCCAAGCTATCTGCAAGAAGCCCCTGCAAAGTCCCTGCACTGTTGAAAAAAAAAAGACGTGTGCTGAAGAGGTTACAATTTTCCAAAGAGCACATTGACTGGCCTAAAGAGAAATGGGTAACATTTTGTGGACTGATAAAAGTAAGATTGTTCTTTTTGGGTCTGGTGGCCGGAGACAGTTTGTCAGACGACCCCCAAACACTGGATTCAAGCCACAGTACACTGTGAAGACAGTGAAGCATGGTTGCGCAAGCATCATGATATGGGGATGTTTCTCATACTACGGTGTTGGGCCTATTTATCACATACCAGGGATCATGGATCAGTTTGAATACATCAGAATACTTGAAGAGGTCATGCTGCCTTATGCTGAAGAGGAAATGTCCTTGAAATGTGTGTTTCATCAAGAAAACAACCCCAAACACACCAGTAAACGTACAGCATCTTGGTTCCAGACCAACAAGATTAATGTTATGGAGTGGCCAGCCTAATCCCCAGATCTTAATCCAATAGAAAACTTGTGGGGTGACATAAACGCTGCACCCAAATGAAATTTATGTCCTTTTTTTCCCAAGAATTGAGATTTCTTTCGGTAGTATTTGATCGCCTCTGCATTTTTAATTTTTTTTGCACTATAAAAATAAAAGTCCAACAATTTTGAGAAAAAAAATATATTTTTGACTTTTTGCTATTAAACAAGTCCAGTAAAAAAATTTTAAAAATCGAATTTCATCATAAATTTAGGCCAAAATGTATTCTGCTACATGTCTTTACATGTCGCAGAATAAAATCCCAATACGTGTAAATTAATTGGTTTATGTGAAAGTTTTATCATTTGCAAATGGTGGTATAGATACTGTAATTTTATTTATTTATTTACATTTTTACTAGTAATGGCGGCGATTAGCAACTTATAGCGAAACTGCGGGATGACGACGGGCATTGTGACACTAAGGGGAACTGACTTGGTGTCACTGACATCCTCAGTGACACCAATACAGTGATCAGTGCAAAAAAAAAGCATTGACACTGTACTAATGGCATTGGGCAGGAAGGGGTTAACATGAGGGGCGATCAAAGGGTTAACTGTATGCAGGGAGTGTTTTACACAGGGGGCCGTGTCAGTGTGTTTCACTGTAAGCACAGCCATCCAAAGCAGTGTGCCCGAGCTGACAGGGAGGAGAACTGTTAGTATACAAAACAGTTCTCCCTGTCGGAGATCATCAGAAATCCCCGGGTGCTGGCGAATAATCACCGGCCGGAATCTGGTGATTGACAGTGCTCACGAACTGCGGCGCTCGCCCCCTACCTGATAATGCAAACTCACGTATATATACATGGTTTTGCGCACCCATGCCGCCCTGTAGTAGTATTTCTGCTATAGGGCGACGCTGAAGCAGTTAAACACACTGCTATTATTTTGAACACAACTGTACCTGCACACGCATATTTTAAAGTTTAAGAGACCACAGGAGCTTATAACTAGGGCACCCAATATCCATACAGCAGTATTGAGATCTAAAATTGGAGCTCCAACAAAACCCACACCCACTAGTGCAATAAGTTCTGCCTCTCTTGCCAATAGAGATTTGCATATTTTGTGTGGCGATGCAGCATAGCTACAATGTCAGATCTTGCTGCTCTATATTGAATAACCCAGGTTAAAGAAGTCTCAAGCTCCCAGGATTCTCTAGAACATACTGAATTTCTGGCTGCCTGCCTTTTGTCAGTATAATTAGTGTAGTATATGATGAACTAACTTTAAGGAGTCAAATAGCTCTGCTCAGTTGCATAAAGAAAGAGCTTCGGCATTATCTGTGAGGCCCGATTCACACTGATGCAGTGCGGGACTCGCAGTGAATTTTGTGCGTTTTCCACACATAACGGAATCTCACTCTGTTCATGCGAACACTGTGGGTGTCAATGTCAGTTAACAACACCCCCAAAATGGTTCTCAAGATGCAGTGTGACTGGCTGAATCGGATTGCATGGTTGTGAACATGCATTCCAGTGCAGAAAGAAAAAAGTCCTGAACCCTCTTGGGGGTGTGTTGTGCAATTTGAGCTATATGTATGGCACAATTTGCACTGCAAAAGAATCACATGTGATTTGAACAGGAATACGGTGCGATTCCTGTCCAAATCAAATGCGGTTTCCCACACCAAATCAGTGCGAACCAGCCCTGATACATTTTTGCTCCTAACCTTGACCTGCTCAACTATATACTACCCAGCTGGGTTTCCTTGCCAGACCTCTGTATTCCGAATATTTGACTCTGACCAGACCAAACCACTATCTCCTGTCCCTGTCTAATCAAGAACCTATGTTGTCTGTTCTAATGCTAGCTCGAGATCCAACTAAGAACCTATGTCCTGATGCTTTCATGTGCCTGCACCTGCATCTCTGTTCCTGGTCTAACTGTTTTGTCTTCTTGTTTAACATATGACTTTGCTCCTGTCTGTCAAACACCGCCTGGCGGTACTTCTAGCGATCCACAGGATAGGATTCCCCAGGGCGCGGGGTCTAAGTCCCAGTCTGCTTGTTCACCAGGACCCCTGATGGTGGGGATGGACTTGGAGCAGACAGTGACCAGGTCGCGGCCCCTGAGTACACCCGTCCGTGGTAGAGAGATCCGCCAGGGGTATATACTGGAAGAGAGCCTGATGTGAAGAGGCGGATATGCCTGAGCAGCAGTGACTGGATCCACGCAGGATGGATGGATGGATGGCTGGCAGGGTAGTGTAGCGTAGTCAGACAGGCCGGGTCGGTAACAGTGGGGACAGCATGGTACAAAGCAGCAGACAAAGAGTAGTCGGGTCACACGCCGGGTTCAGTAACAGGAGGTCAGATAAATAGGGATATGCAGGAGAGTAGTCAACGAGCCAGGGGTCAGAGCAGGAGATAGTCAGCGAAGGTCAGGATCAAGCAGGGTCTGCAACAAGATCAATCAGCAGGAACACAACGAGCAGGAACAGGATAATAAGACCATACGGCAACTTGAGTCTGTGCAGGGCTGGTTTAAATAGTGCGCCCTGCACTGTCATTAGTGCCAAGCGCATGTCCGCGATCGCGAGTGCGCGCATGCACGGCCACTGCCACCGCCGCAGCTGCCTAGGTTCTAACGCCTGCCGATTAGAACGCATTGGCGTTCTGCGCATGCGCAGACCCGTGCGCCGCGACTGCTGATACTGTCCTATATGTGTAGAGCTGCTTTCATCTACACTTCACACTTGGTGCATCTGCCCCATTTACGGCATACACAGTCACCTTTGCCATCCTTGTGCTTGTAAAGGAATTACCACTCTCCATGCTAGTCATTCATTGGGTCTATGACTTGGGCTATATCCTATACTTGCTTCCACAACGTACATTTTTTTTCCATAACGTCTTACAA